GAAAAAAACGCGATTTTAACCATTTTCTTCTCTAAGGATTACGTCAGTAAACAGGAGCTTACAACAAGGAATTTTAATTACTCTTCAAGTTTTTTTTTAATAATCCGTATTAACTCCAAGTACAAAACCTATTACCTATCTAAAATACCCATTTTCTACTTTTAATGTCATACCACGTAATATTCTAATTCAAATTTCATATTATTAAATTTACCTACTACGGTACTGTCAGGTAGAAACTAAATATTTTATTTCAATAATAAAAATTCTTTTAATCCAGTCCCGACTATTCCGCTTAATCTGAGAGAGTTAGCACTATTCCGTCTCGCTTGGTTCTCGACCACCACATCAAAGGCGTCGACAAGGACTCTTCCAGCTGTATTAAGCTGTGGCTATAGTATCCTACAAAAAAGCATTTTAAAGATAATTTCAAGATCTGTAAGATCGTTTGCATATAAAACCTTTTAAGTCCTTCGTTTTTTTAAGGGAAAGGATCGAAGGGCTGGAGACAGGTCGTTATTTCACTATCATGCGGCGATATCTCCTATTTTTTATGCTATAGGAATAAAAAAAAGTAAAATATTTGTTGAAAAAAAAGCTACATTTTTGTTGTCTATCATTTTTACGTATCTTTCATAGTTTCAGAGTTATTATAAAATTAAGACAATTTTTTTTGAATAACGAAAAATACGTTTTCAACTTTTACCGTACATTTTTAAAAAAATACGCATTCTAAACCGGTCTAACTTCAGGATCGTAAGAAAAACACTAAAACAAAACTAATTGTAAAGGATCTACGATTAATTTTAATTCTGAGCGTTTACTGCTCATTTTTCCTTAAAAAAATATGAGCAACCCATCTGTTTTTGACGATAACTCGTTCAATTTTGCTCTAATTAAGTTTTATAAGTGCTCATTTTGAAGGTCTTTTTGAGTACTACAAAAAACTCCCGGATTAATCCTTTTTTCGTTATTTGACGTTGAATACATCGATTCGAGTATTCCCCCCAAAACAAGTCCCCCTCCACTAACCATATTTCGCTTTCTATAGGACGTACAACACTTTTTAAAAAACGATTTTCTTTGTTTATTTATAAGCTACATTTTTGTTCATTACACTTTTTTAATAAAATGTGTAGTTTTTGAGTTATTCGATTCGAAAAATACTTTGAAAAAGTGTTTTATTTCACTCTAAGTTACAAGTTTTCAATCGTTAATAACTAAAAAAACTATTGATTTCTCGAAAAAATTCTTCGAATATTTTTTGCACAAAATTTGATACCCTATCGATTTCCAGCGTTATTTTTGACAAAAATTCACCCCCCAGAAGGAGTGTCAATCCCTAACATGGGGGAAGCGTCAATCGGCGCTATGTCACTAATGTTCATTGACCTTTTCTCTAACTATCTGCCAAATTTCAAATCGATCGGTTCAGTTTCAAATAATTCGGAGGTGAAAAGCTTCAATGACCGTACTACAAGAAATTTAAAAACACCGCCTTACTCATAGACCACAGAACAGAGAAGAATATGTTCCTTATTATGTCGCCATAATTCTTACATGTTTATAAAAAAAATTATCCTTACTGGTTTGAATTATACCGCGATAAAAACCACTTCGAATATCAAATACTTACGTAATTAACAGTATAAGTGCAAACAAGTGAGTTTTCGTATTGTTTTTCAACACCATATTGGTAGTAACTTCGGCGTGACAGCTGGGGCAAATGATCCTCGCAGGATGTGGTCCAAGGATAATATCTGTAGAATGGACAAAAGACAAAAGGAATGTACTTATGTAAAATCTTAAATTCAAAATAAGCGGAACAATTATTTATGTACATATTTTGTTTCAAATTGAAAATTCTAAATTAGAATATTTGATATCCTTACCTTGTTGCATTTCGAATAACTGTGTACCAAATAAATAACACTAAAAAATAAATGGGTATAATATTAGAGGGCAATATAAACTAATAGTTCTTTCCAGAGGCATCAAAATAGGGTTTCTGACAGGAGCCACCAGGCGCTGTCACAGAATATCCTAGTAGTTAGGATATTCTGTGGCGCTGTCAATAACAACTAAACTTTTTTCTACATTTGAGTGACAGGTACGTTACTGAATAATACAGGAGTTGATGTATCAGCAATCAAGAGTCATGGTGGGTGGAAATCAATCACAATTGCAGAAAGTTATGTTACTGACAGTTTAAGTAACAAAAATGAAATAGCCAACAGGATTCTTTACAATGACACTTCAACTCTAGTCGCATCATGCTGTTTAAAAAGTTCAACTAAACTTGATTTAATTTTAAAACTAGTCGGCAGTTGTTGGATAGGAGATACACTATTCTAGAAATACAAAATCACATTAAAAATAAAAGTTTTTTATAACTCCAAAATTCTGATTGCCAGTTGCATCGTGTTCATGCCGACGTGTTCGTAAAACTTCCATGTCACTTGGATATTCCAACAAATGTTCGTCAAATATTTCTATTTATTTTTTCATAAAATATGCTTCTACAAATCGGAATCGCTTTTTTCCCTAGGGAGGTAAGTTACCTTACTTACCTCCTGTTGTCCATAGCAACTTTTTGTCACTGCCATCTTGAAAAGGCCACTGATGTCATGACTGATACTATAGGGTGGGTGTATACATTTGACAACAATATTTCAATTGCACCACTAAGCTACACAAAGGGAAAATTGTCTCCCTTAGCTGATTTACTGATCTGAATCAGTTCTTGGAGAGGTGAAAAAGAAAATCGATATTCTACCAATAATAAACTTTTAATACATAAAGCTATAAAAATATAACGATAACAATCCAGCGCAATTACATAGTTTTACCTAATAATAAATCTAATATCCGTTAATAATAAACTTAAAAGTAATATGAAAAACTGTACAATTAAACGTAATTCCTGGACAGGAAAATATTTGTGATCGTGAGACTTTCTCTCTGAAATGATTAATTTTTGAAAGTGCCGATATAAGCGTGACAATTTGGGCAGTAGTGGTTCTTTGACTTGCAGGAATCCGTACAGTATGGAATGAAGACGCAGGGAAAGCATCTGCAACGAAGAAATCAAATAAATATAATGGCAAATAACTAACTCTAGTGATCTGTTTTTTGATTCTTTTGGTACAGGAGTTGTTTATACAAAATTTCTGTTTTTTTTCTTCACCGTGGTACAAATACCAAACTAAATAAAAATATAGTAAACACTTGCCACAAATAAATAATTACAGACAGTACTACACAAAAATAGAACCAAGTATTTCACTATTATAAACCAATAAGATGGTGATTGTCAACAATTTTTTTGCACAGAATTTAAAAACACCGTCTTACTCATAGACCACAGAACAGAGAAGAATATGCTCCTTTTTCATATGGTTGCAAGGTCAAACTCATAATTCTTACAGCCTGATGATAAAAAGTGTGATGATAACCATTTCGAGCAACAAATACTTACATAAGACACAGTAGAACTGCAAACAAGTGTGTGTTCGTATTATTTTCCAACACCACATCGGTAGTAACTTGGGCATGGCAGCTGGGACAAGTGATCCTCGACCGTTCGGGCCCAAGCAAAGGAACTGTAAGCTGGGTATCTATGACGAAAAGAAAAATAATGTATTTAAAACCTCAAATTCAAAATAAGCAGTATAATTATTTAAATATTTGATATGCTTACATTGTTGCTGTGGTCCCATATCCATTTTGAATAACTGTAATAATAAATAAGGAATATATATATGTAGTTATAATATTAGAGAAAATAAAGAAAATATAATCACGCTTCGAGAACAAATATAAAAAAACACGCCACATCAGAATTTAAAAGATGGTTAATATTAGCTCTAGTACGCGTATAAGCGGCACAGTATGCAGGAAAATCGATGCTTTTTTTCTAAAACTTAAATTACGATTTATTGAATCGAATTCACTTCCAAAAAAAAATTATTATGGTCACACACCTTTGGTTAAACTGATTTTAGACCACTTGCTTGTTGCCTCTGCTCGACAAAGACTGCCACATTAAAATAACACGCGGCTGATTAGTGGCATCAGAATTTGTCGATTGTATGCGTTAACAGCGCAAAATGCAAAAAAATGTGTTTGGGAATAAGAGCATATTTCGAGGTACTGTTTACAGGATCTAAGTATAATAATAGAAAGTGATGTAGTTGGAGCTGATTATGAGCTGCTGAGAGTAGGACCGACTTCAGCTTATCCAACGCTAGCTTGACTACACTTTTAATATTTTCCAAAATGCGCTTTTTGTTGATAATTATATAACAAAAATATTTAACGCGCTGTTAGAAGGCATTGAGCTTAAAAAATCGTCTGTTGATTTTATAATTATAAATTAATCTTTGGGATACTCCAGTTTAAATGCTAAGGGCATGAATTTATCAGAGCATTTTCTTACCGAGTGTAAAGCGAATTTAACATAAAGAAAAACGATCGTTTTACGACAAATATCGGGGCTTTTCTAAATTCAAGTTAGAAGCTTTCAACTACAGCCTTACATCACAACCTTGGCAATCAATTTGTTACAATTATAATTATAATTTTTGTATTAATGAGAAAATTAAAACATTTAACCAACTAGTCTGAGTTGCTCAATTTACAGACATCATTTAAAACGGTAACCTTTAAACTGACAATATCTTTATGATCAATCTACGAAATAAACCGTTTAATAAGTACAAATTCTTATTTTTTGTCGTACTATCACCCCCTGAATTTACGGGAGGTCTTTCTGAAACACCCCGTATAAGACGTCTAACAATTACAAAATGTTTTATTTTCTTAATAAAAAACCTTCTTTTCTTTTTTTACTATTATCTCGCTTATTGTTAGAGATGGACCCAACAATTTTTTTTTGACTATACTAGACAGTTCTATCCAAATATGTAAAAATATACAGGGTGTTCCATTTAAATGAACAAAGTTAACATCCGCGGCCATTTTGTTTGGACTTCATTTGTTTTTCTACTATCATTTTCAAAAACTTCATAAAAAATCGTACAATTTTTGTATTTCACATTTTTTTAAAACAAAAAAGTAATGGGGGGGGGTCAAAATATAGTGAATCACCCTGTACCTCAGATGTAGACGCAAATGATACAATACAAATGCAAACTCTTTTAAAATAAATGCTGATATTATTAATCTTCAAACAGAAATTTTTATTTTTTTTTGAATTCAGTGAAGTAGATGAATACAGTATTATGCAAATAATTCTCAAAACTAGAACTGAAGCTTGTGGGTGTGATGGAATTATAAATATAATAATATAATATATACTAATTAATAATATTAATTTAATTTAATTAATTATAATATTAATAATATATACAAACAATCTTTCTTCAGTATTGCTGTAAGGCTCATACGCAATATAAATTTGACAAGGCAACAAATTTGGATTCGTCTCTCTTAGATAATTCCCTGAATCATTTCTTGGAGACACACACGGGTGAAAAGAAAGTCAATATTCCACTAATAATAAACTTTAGTATAAAGCTACAAAAAAATAAGGATTACAGTACATGGCAATTACATACTTCCACCTAAGATAATAACAAACGTTGATGAAACAAAATAATGAATGATGAACGTAAAACTAACATTGTCTTTCGTCTAGAAATTGCCCAAAAATACAAGAATCACACTTAGTCATACACTGTAGGTACACTTAAAGATAGAAGGACTAGAAGACATTTTGTGATTGTGAGTTTTTCTCCATGAAATTATTAATCACTGAAACTGCCGAGATAGGCTTGACAATTTGGGCAGTAGTGGTTCTTGGACTTGCAGGAATCCGTGCAGTATGGAATGAAGACGCAGGGACAGCATCTGGAAAGAAGAAATAGCATATATGAAGACATTATAATGTCAAAATCTAGTCCTTTCTAACATGATCAATTGATGTATACAAAAGTTTCAATTATATTGTGATAACAACCACTTCCAACATCAAATACTTACATAAGACACAGCAGGACTGCAAACAAATGAGTTTTCGTACTGTTTTCCAATACCACGTTGGTAGTAACTTGGGCGTGGCAGCTGGGACAAGTTATTCTCGAGGGTTGGGGTCCAAGGACAAGAACTGTGGGCTGGGTAATTATGACTAAAAAGAACAATGTATTTAAAACCTGTGTAATTTGGGATTACATTGCAAGTTAGAATATTGGATATTCTTACCTTGTGGCTGTGGTGGTGGTGGCTGGAAATGTGGTGGTGGTGGTTGGAAATGTGGTGGTGGTGGCCCTTTGTCCATTGTAAATAACTGTAATAAATAAATAACTAATAAATATGTAGGTAGAGTTAAAAGGTATAATATAAACTAAAAGTTATTTCCAGCAGCATTAAAACGGTATGTCAAGGTTTAGCTCTAGCTAAACTTTTTTTATTCTACATTTGAGTGACAACCATTGGAAATATAACCCCGTTGTAAAATTATCTTCAGTCGTGTTCAAGGAAAACGCATTCCCTAAGATATATCAATCAATTTTGTTTAACTCGCTCACATTTTGCTTTAAAAATTATGTTTACATTCACGAACAAATGCAACAAAAATCACGCCATTGATTAGTGGCAACAGCATTTATGGGATGGTTAATATTAGTCCAAATAGGCGTAACAGCGACGCGAAATGCAAGAAAATCAATGCACATATTTATTTTTATTTTTCACTTTCAAAATCGCAAAAAACTAATTATGGTTACACACCTTTGGCTGAGGTTTTAGAACACTTGCTTCTTGCTCTGCTCAATAAATACTGGCCTGATTACAGAACACTGTTGATATTATATACATTATATTGGGAGCGTTATCTTTATCACATCGATAATATTTTTTTTCTCGGTAGTTATTTTGTGCCACAATTACGAAGAAACTATTAAGCGAAATTAAATACGATACCGGCAATATCTTTTCCAGCTAATCTAATGGTATTCACGGTTATCAAGAAGAGCCTTCAAAAAGTTATCTGAATTGGTCCTGGCCAAACCTTTGACCCAAGCCAAAATTAAAAACAAGAAGTGTGGAATATTTACTTAAATTATAGAAATAAGTATAGAAAATGTACTTGATGTAAATATTACTAATTGCAAGAATAAAAGATTACAGCAAAATAATCAAGAGAACCTTGCATTTTGGATTACTTTTTTACGTATGTTGTGTTGTAATCTTCGTGATAAACAGAAATATCTTCAATACATTGCTAAATTTGATTTTGTTTACCAAAGTTATCTTTGGGAGTTACATAACTGTGACATAATTCTTAATGGAAAGATTTGCAACAATATTATGGATATACATTCTTCAGTTCAAATAACTATTTTAAGAACTATGCGACTTTTGTACTGCTAATCGGTTCATTGCTAAAATCATATCTAAAAATTGGGTTAAATAATTGGTAATTTTTGATGTAATAGTAAGTACCTGCCTAAGTGTTATCCAAGATTAGGTTTTTATCTAAAATGTGTTGCAATTTCCTTTTTGAATGTTATGAAACTCGATCTCTTTGTGTCGTCATGACTCAGTAATTTTAAAACCATATAAAAATACTTCTAGGTACCTATCTAGATTTAATCAGTTAAAGCTATTTTTCATTTGTGATTATTTAAATAAAGAAATATATTCTTAATAAATAATAAATTACTCATAATTCATTGAGTCACCTCCGTTACAATTCCTTGATGTTTATTTAATTAATCACATTTTCGTGATATCCACACCAAATCAAAATCAATTGTACAGGTAGGTATTTTTCATAAAATCATAACATTTCACTAATGTTTCCAATAACAGTTTTGTAACTGCGAATCAGCTGAAATTTAAAGTTAGCGATGAAAGAAAAATAAAACACAGCACCTATTAGAGGATATGACTTTAATCAGAACAATAGACTATTTAGATAATTTCTTGTATATTAATCATCATTAAAGATCAAAAAAATTTGACAGTAGACATATTTAGCAAATTAATAAGAATCATTTACTTTAATTCGAAAATAATACCTGTAGCTTTATATTTTTCCATTGTCTGAAATGCGGGAACAAATACGATTTTATATTCTTATCGATAAGTACTCAATTTAAGTATAAATCGCAGTTTCAGTAGAAGTCTAAATACTTATTTTGCCTACTTTAGATAAATATTATCGCCATGGAGTGAAATATTTATTTGTCCATATCGCTGAATAAAAAAAACGTTGGCAATTGAAAAAAATAGCCGGACATAAATGCCTATTAATTCGGTACTACTGTGGTTTTGATTATACTCTTACTATCGTGGTTTATTGCTCACATTAGTCTTATAAGTATTCAAACTTCAAAGGCTTATGTGGATAGGAATGTGGAATTAAACATGTGCGTAATGCTGTCGTACGTCATATGGTAGCAGCTGAGGAACAAATTTGAAACGTCGTAGAAAAAAATCCTCGTATTATACAAGGCAAATTGTTCGTCAAGTGCCTGGAGGGTCCCAATATTCCCAATCAACAGTGTGGCTTATATTACATGAGGCCCAAATGTATCTTTATCATGCACAGATGTGAATTATGTCATGATTAAATATTAATTAATTTTTACTTATTACATTTAGCTACAGCAGAAATGAATAATGATAAAAAACAGTAACTGATTTCGTTAAAGCAAAATATCTGTGATAATTGTGGTGAAGTATTTTATTTACAATTTATAAAATAGAGTGTAATGTGAGATTGAACGCCTACTAGATATAGAGGGTGTCAACTAAGTCAACTAAGAATTTTTCATAGCCTTTTTGAAGCTATAAACAGAGGTACAAATTTTTATATCATTAGGTAATCTATTGAACATTCGTATACCAAGATAGTTAGGTGAGTTAAAAGACAGATTACACCCACCAAAAGGTATACTAAAATTGCAAATGACATATCCAAATTTGCCACCTTGAGCAGAGAAAAGTTAAGAAGAATTTTAGCAAATCAACTAGAGTATGGTCGAATTTGTGTAGAAAGAATTTTACCAAAACCAATAACTTCAAATGAAGATAATGTAATAAATGTGCTAGCCTATTTTAATGTTCATCCAGAATCCTCAACTCGTGCCGCAGAGTATGATTTAGGCATTTCACGAGCGTCCATTCACAGGATGCTAAGAACTAATGATGTGCATCCATACAAATTTAAGCTACTTTCTGCTCTTCATCCGGGTGACGCCGTGCAACGTGTACAATTTTGTGAAACGATGTTAGTGCGATATCAAGAAGATCCACAATTTTTGCAACATATTATATGGACAGACGAGTCGAAATTTACGAGAGAAGCTATTTTTAATAGACATAATACACATTTGTGGTCATCTGAAAATCCTCGTTATCCGGGAAACTCAAAATAAATTTAGCGTAAGTGTTTTTTGCCTAATTAAAGATAACCAAAACTACGAAGAAAATTTAAATGCCGACAGATATCTCAATATTTTGCGAACGGTTGTGCCAGATTTTCTAAATGAAAAAACCAACTAAGGAAGTGTTGATATCAATTAGACGGGGCTCCACCTGACTGTCACAATCAAATCGATCAACAGCTGACTGAAATGTTTGAAGGTAGATGGATGAGACGCCTAGGACCGTGGAATTGGTCAGTGAGGTCTCCCGACCTCACTCCCATTAGATTTTTATGTTTGGGGAGTAATAAAGCAAAAAGTTTATTCTCTAGAATCCACAAGTGCTTAGCTGTTAATAAATAAATAAATAAACTTTATTGACTTTTTTCCATACATAACAGTAGTTACTCCATAAGTAATAGAACACATATCAGAAATAAACTCATCAGTACTAAAATAGCATCTCGTCATAAAAAAATTTTTAGTGAAATTATGAAATGATTTGAGACATTAATTTAATTTTCTCGTGCTTGAAGAAATCAACCGGTTTATTATATAAATCTATTTTGGGTTTATTATTTCTAGTTATATTAATCCTAGAGAAAGGGACTATAAGAGCTCCACGGTGCCTAGTGTTATATTCATGTACACCAGAATGTTTGTCAAATTTTTATGAACTAGATACAGTGATTCAAGTATCAATTCAATATCTTATATTTTTGGAAGTAATGGGGGTCATATTATGACTTTTTTTAGTCATTTTAGTCATCTTAGTGCATTATTATTAACATACATAATTAAAATTGTGTACTACTATGTATGAAGTTGATTTTTTAGAATTCTTCTGTTTTATTCTGCTCGTTAATGGAAAATTGGGATATGTCTCATTAAAAACTGTAAATGTTCTGCTTAGAATCCCATTGCAACGTCTGTGAATAAATAATAATAAATAACTGGTGATAGTTTAGTTATTTGTTTTGAAGTTTTGCAAAAAATTCCACAGCTATTCTCGCAAGAAATTACATGATTTCAGGTGATTGCGCAAAAAATAGTAGATAACTTAAAAACTAGAAGAGATAAGTATAGGGAACCCTGATACCGTTCGAAAGAGAATAAAATTGTGTATCAGAATATAGAAAAACATACAGGGTGTTCCATTTAAAAAAACCGACTTATGAAGGTTTGAAGTTAACTAAACTCGGCATTAAATTTCTAGCACCCTGTATGCAATTAAGCCACTTTGAAAGTATGGATGGGAAGCTTAGGGGTCTAGCTATCCCCCCTATAAATATTGTTGCTTTATCTTTCTTACTATAAAATACACATGGTTTGAAGCTAGTCACTGTTTCTCTCCATTTTTTTGAAAAAAATTAAATATCTCGAAAACGGTTAATTTTAGGAATAGGGAAACTTCATAAAAGTCCACCTAAAATAACACGTAGAATCCAAAATTGCAATAATATATAGGGTGTTCCATTTAAAATAAGCAAGTTGATGGCGACTTCCGGTATAACCGGAAGTGGTACGTGGACGCCATTATTTTAGTTGAGAAGGGCATGCCCGAAAACCCGGTATCCCAAATTTTCAAAATTCAAATCGAAGTAGTCTGAAATAATTCTAATGGGTCGTTACCGTGACACCCTGTATAATAATTTATAACTTCAAGGATCTAAAATACACTCTCCAAAGCTGCTTACTTAAAATTATTTTTTTATTGCTAATAAACATAGTCCGGTCAAATTAGACCAAAAAATAAGAATGAAGGTACATAAATTTACAACAAGCTGAAAGTGAGTAAAATTGTGTAAAACATAATTAAAAATAACATTAAAATTCCTCATCGTTCCGGTACTTGGAAAAAAATTTACTCGAGGTCAAAGGTAAAAAAATTGGTTTTTCGAGATTTTCAGCTCAACGGCAAGTTTTATCATAAAATTACTTCAGACAAAAATTGTAGATCATAAAATTATCTATCAGAAATACTTTTTTCCTAAGAGCCACCGTTTCTGAGATATAACGATTCAAATAGTTGTAAAAGTTGTAATCGCCATAATATGCATAAGTACGCCACGTATATACATCTCTGAAGTTGTAACATAAGTAAAAATATTTTTCCATCGTGATTGTAACTTACACTTAAAATATAAAATATACATAAGTATACCTATCAGGTAAAATTGTCAAGGCCGTCGTGTTCTACTGTTAAATCACCAACAATAGAGGATTCGTTTGATACCAACGAGGAGACATGCGATACATCACTATTGACACAATTTACTTACACACAGAATGAAGAAGAAGAAGATCAATAAGAAGAGCAAGAAGAATTAGTTGAAGGTTATGAATCAGACGAGTAAATTCTATTTTTTTTAAATTTTTATTTAAATGGTTTATTTAAATGGTTTTATCATTTCCAACCCTTGCTAAGTACACTATCTCATAGGTGGCGCACTATAATTTATTTGGACTTAGGTATGGACAAACTTAAGTAGCGCCTCGTAGAAAAAAAGATAAAAAAAACAAAAAATAGCGTTTTAAAGCTTAAGAGGAACAGATTACGGGAAAAATAATTATATTTTACCAGCACCGCATTTACACCCTCAAAATTGAGCCCCAAAATTATAATTTTGGAAAAAATTTACATTTTTTTGCTCGTTTGAAAAAAAAATTTCTCAAATGATACAAAACATTTTTATATAGTTTTTGAGATGAGGAATAAGGATCCATTGTTTAAAATGAACTAAAAAAATTTAGAACCCTTAAATTTACGAATATTTCAGTTTATGATGTTTTTAGCTCTGATTTCCGCTCTTATGCATCGATTTGCTTGAAATTTGGAAAGTAGGTGGGGAATAACTCAAGAAACAAAATACATCCTATGGTGATATATATTTTTACCCTGGGGGTGGTTTCTACCCCTTTGTAGGGTTGAAAATAAATTTTGTCAAAATAATCCCGGAAATCAATAGAGCAACTAATTTGAAGTAAAAAATGTGTCATACAATTTTTTTGATAAACCAATACTTTTTTAGTTATTTGCGATTGAAAACCCAATTTTTCAATTGAATATTTTAGTTTACCTTTAACCTCGAGTACATTTTTTTCCGAGTACCGGAACGATGAGGAATTTTAATACGCTATTTTTAATTATGTTTTGAACAACTTTACTCACTTTCAGCTTGTTGTAAATTATGTATCTTTGAATGTCTAGATTGACCAGACTAAACAGGTTTCTATAACATTTGCCGTTTGGTCCCTAGCCATCGAGGCGTTACTGGTGACCCACCCTGTATTATTCGATGCCATTATAAAGGGTGTCCCAAAATTCACAAAAGATAAGACAAGACAGTGTTAAATTAAATACAAAAGAACGTATTGAGGTCATATTACGCCACTGGCGGTGTTACTTGATCTACTTTGTCAAGTGTTTGGACTTTGGAGAACATTCAGGAAACTCGTAATGAAAACACACCAATATACCTACCCTTTTCTCCAACAATTAAAAAAATCATATGAAAAATAAACCTCACAATCAACTGTAACATTTATTTGGTATTAAAAACGTGAAATAACTGGAAAAAAAATATTTATCTTATTATACCCACTGCCAAGATACTAATCTGTACAATATTGACAGGCAACAGTTTCTGTGAATTTCTACGAATACAAGCTATGTACTTTTAGATAAATATTATCAGCGTACAAAATATATTCTCAGTTTCCTTAACACTAACAAACATAGAACAAAATATGGCAATACAAATACTTAACACGACGCACCTTATTTTTTTTGTTCGCGTCGCACGGAAAAACCAAATTACAATTCTGGTTGCACTGGAACCGACTAAGGAACAAACGAGGTGAGTCGATGCGCTAACATAACAAGATAAAATACATGTAGATATAAAAAAATATTTGGAATGGAAGTCACCACACCCTTCTCCTAGTTGTCGTATTTTCCTAGATACGCTCTGCAGTTCGGACAGTAGTGATTTTGGCTTTGGCAGGAATCCACGCAGTATGGAATGCAGCAGCAGGGATAGCACCTGGGGAAAATACACGAGTTAATTGCTGAAAGAGCCGCGTTAAATTTTAGTGGTTTAGTCGTAGCTGAACAACAGCTGCCTGCCCGGTAACGGCGTAGACAAGAGGTTAAAGCATTAATCATTCGATTATTTATTGTTCTGGGGAGCACGTGCTACTACCCTTAAAAAAAATGAGTACGTGGTATGAAGAGAAAAATAATTTTGGAAATAGTAGCGCGAAAAATTTAATTTTACTGGATAAAGTTTACTTACCCAAAGAGGCACAATAGTAAGGCAAACAGGTGCGTTTTCGTAGTAGCTTCTGTTTCTACTGTGGTCACAATTTGCGCGTGGCAAGAAGGACAAGTAATTGCAGTTGGCTGTGGCCCTAAGGCCATAGGCGACATGTGCGTAACGATAACTGAAAGAATAATGATTATTAATTTTTTTATTTTACATTAAATGTATACCCTATCCAATGTAGAAATTACTCTTTTAGGGTCACAAAATAAAATTTTTTAAATACAATTTTTACGAAAATTTCCAAACGGTGCGAAATATTTTTAAGAAATTTGGAATTCCGAGGTTTTTAAGGACGCCAAATACGCTGGTCTAATTATTTTTTGTATATTTTATAGAGGGCGCTAGTTACACTACATTATTCGTATTACATTTTAAGTTCTAATTTTTTTGAGGTTAGGTTTTTCGGGCTCCAATTGCTAATGTACAATTTTATTTTGTAAAAATAATGTACTCTTGTTAGATCTTCCTAATGTGGACGGTTATCGAGAAAAAAGGCTTTTAATTGAACTCTTACAATATTACGGTGTAGAAAATAAGTGACTTTTCTCAAAGTAGGCTTATGTCAAAACTTATTGATGGATGTCTTATAAACAACGCATACATTCTCAGTAATATTTTAAACTCTAATTAACTTTATATCAAAATTTTAGTGATTGTTAGTGACTGTAGTTAGTAATGACTAATTACAGTCACTAAAATTTTGATATAAAGTTAATTAGAGTTTAAAATATTACTGAGAATGTATGCGTTGTTTATGAGACATCCATCAATAAGTTTTGACATAAGCCTACTTTGAGAAGTCACTTATTTTCTTCACCGTAAGAGTTCAATTAAAAGCCTTTTTTCTCGAAAACCGTCCACATTAGGAAGTTCTAACAAGAGTACATTATTTTTAGAAAATAAAATTATACATTAGAAATTAGAGCCCGAATTGTAAAAAACTTAACCTTAAAAAAATTTGAACCTAAAATGTAATACAAATGGTATACTTTTATTTATCTGATAAATAAAATTGGCAAGTCTGTTAATTAAAGAAGAGCTGTATCCAGGTACACGTAAATATCAATAAATATTCTTTAATCCGTTGATGTTTTTAACCTGATACATAATTGGTAATATAAGGTCAACAAAAAATGCTGCAAGGCAACAACTACAACATCATCCTTGGGAGTACCTCGACCAACTTAATATTTTATAAAGGAAACAGGTCTTGAAACAGTTGAAACCAGGAATACATTTTTCTCTGTGGTATTTAGGTGTCGCGTCGTTCCGCTATTTGTTTGCGGTTACGTCCCATTGTTTGTCTCCGATATAATAATGCCGTTTTAATTAGCGAGATATAAGAGACAACCGAATAATACCCATAATTCAAACGATAAAGATTATCGGGATAATCGCACTATTTTTATATTAATCGGCTTGTGGTTCCGTGTGCAAACGTACTTGCTATTTTTATTCTGAAAACATATGCTAGCCGGCGCTAGACCTCAATAATCGAGTATTAAAAAAGTTTTGAAATCGTCACAGATAGATCCTCGTTATTTGTAACATTATCCCTGGATATTTAGCACATTTATTGACATAAAAAAATTAAAGACCTATATATTTAATAGCCGTCATATTTTTTAAACAACTCATGCTTTACCTGTATGATGTTCGCTAACAGGTGGTGGTGGTGGTTGGTATCCTTGAGTTGGGGGAGGGGGGTAACCTTGTGCCGGAGGTGACACCTGGAATCCCGGACCTGGGGGACTGTACGGTGGAGGATTTTGCTTTTCCATGCTATAAGCAAACAGAAAAAATTAATAAAAGCAATAATAGTCTATAAAATTTTAATTTAACGTCAATTCCTGGTCTTAATGAAAAATTATTGATTATTCGTTGCGTTTTTCCAATCAAATCAATACCATACAATTATTTTACCATTACTACACGTATAAGTAAGCTTCGGCAGATATAAAACGTTATCTGACAAACATGTTTACCAGGTGTGTTTATAGAAAACGTGATAAAAACGTTCGACCTTAATGGAAAATCAATTTCCCCATTATGGCTTCCTTTGGATATTGGAGGTAGATTCTTATTGAATCACGAGTTCAATGTATTGAAAAGGTTTCCATGTAACCGGGGAAAATACAAACATACGTAGTTCACGTTTTGTTTAATGCTCATCACTTTATGACGAAAACCACACTTATGGCGTCAAAAAAATACCACCTTAAATATACCCACAACTTATATGAAAATGTTGATTGGAATTTTAACTGAGGGAAATATTTAAATACTATGATGACTGTGGAAATTCATTACAAGTACGGAGAGTGTGTAGGTGAGACTGTGCGCAAATTACGTGGTGTTCTGTAGAAAGGACGAATAAAACAACTGCGAACAGATTAGTTCCTAAATTTGAACAAACAGATTCGGTACAAACAATAAAAAACAGGCCGTAGTAATGTACCTAAACTCCGAAAAACATGTTTACAGTGCAAAGCCAAAGTAACCAGTATTACTTTGGTCAATCCAAGCATGATAATGAATAAAACTTTGTTGGAATCATGTTGCAGATGCAATCTACATGTCGCCATTATTTACAGTCAGATTTTAGTAGACACATTGTAATTTGAACGAGTCAGTAGGTACATCATCACATAACACGAATATGAAGCTACAATCTATAAGGTTCAAGGTTTAACATTCAGTAAGTGGGACTCTACAGACAACGTTATCGGGAAAACACGTTTGACGTTCGTGTTGTACCCATTTCATTGAAATTATTTCTACGTTGATTCAGGGTACTTAGCATTGTATTTAAAATACCTCCATAACAATATAGATAAAAATTCCCGGAATTTTTTTTAATATATTTCGCAATGTTGTCGGAAACAACACTAGCAATTAACGTATAAGTTTACAGCTTGGGTAATTACGTATTTTATCAGAGAAATTCGTGTAAACAAGTCTTGGTAAGCTGTGTAGTTCATTTTTGAAGTAAAATATTTAAATAAATTTTTATTCCGCGATGATCCTAGATTTGGCATTTAAGCACATAAAAAATTATACTACTATAATAACTACTACTAATTCTTTAGGCTTTTTTAGGCAATGAAATATATTTTGTTAATTTATTAATCGTTTATTGCATAGTCACTTGTTCTATAGGTTAATGGTTCAAACTTCCAAATAATGAACTTAATTAGTAATAGCTGTTAGACTGTATATGCTCAATTACTTCTAATTCTGCCACAAAATTAACCCAGTGCCGAATTTGCTCGACTTTGTTTAAGAGTTCACGAGTTCTAGGAATAATGTCAAATGTAACATTAACATTGTTTTTCCTAAAGCGATTAGCTATATACAAAATGCATTCAAACTTGTTTTTAACGACTCGCGCTTGTATAAATAACATAATTACTGTTTACCTGGTAATTTAATTCGTTATCTATAATTAAGGAAACGTCATAGTGCTACAACGTGTTTCAATGCCGAATAGTTTCGCAATTGCCAAATTATGTATGCACTGGCGTACTGACAAATACATATAACAGGTGTTGTACATAATAACCGCAATACAAAGACAGATACATGGGTATTGCGCGTACCGCGACCACGTTCTGACGTCACGTGGAGAGTAAGTTGCGGATGTTGAAAATATATTGATTTGATAATAAACGCCTGTCATTTAAATTTCACTGTTTTGATTGATTTCGTGCAAGTTTTATGTTTTTAACTCATTAGGTAGTATCTGACTATTTGTTCAATAAACAAAAAGGTTAGTACCTAGTAAGTTTTTTCCTTCACTCTTAATACTTGGTCTACATCCGGTATAAATCAATTTTATGTTTAATCAGTAACGACTAGTTATTTTGGAAAATTAGTGAACTAATTAACGCAAGTGGTTGTTGTTTAATTGATTACTCGACGAATTGGTTTATGATTTTTAATGGATTAATAAATATGGGCATATTAATTTCAAGTTATAATCCTTGGCAGATGCGCGTTAATTCCTGGGAACAACTAAAAACCAACAATTATAACATAAGGTCATGGTCGTAGGCCAGGCGTGTCTATCAAACTGATGAGAGAGGACTCCGTTTGTTTTTAACTTTGTGTGTAGAATGAGAAGAGTATCAATAATGGTGTTTATTAAAAAAGAAGTAAGTTTATCAACTGTTTAAACATATTCCACTGCATCATTTCTGGGGAAAAAATTGATTACGTAAAGCATGTGGAAAATAACACGCTCCTCGAAAGAGAATTTATTAATAAAATCTCTTTAAATCTTTCAGAGAAGTGTTGTGATGCAAACGCAAAAGCGTTGAAGTTCCCAGAAATATTTTTAAAGGAAGATAATAATGAAATCAAGTTGTTGATTGTTACCAGGTATACACAAACTAATATATTTTTTTTAAATATGTATACTTCTACAGTGGTGCTACGTAATATTAAAAAAAAACAATTAGAGAGTTTTTATAAATATTAAAAATTATATGACAATTCTGGATGAGGCAAAAGTTAAATAATCAAGAATTACCAATGTAATAAACTGAAGCATATGGTACTGTAAACATTTTTCGATATTTCCCGTAAATTTACCTACTCAACTCGTATCATTTATCATAAACAAACGAGTTATTAATAAAAACCGATGTTGTCATAGCACGAATAGATAAACGTATTTTTGCAATACCTTTCGCCTAAATTATAAACGGAAGCATCATTTTGTTGGCGCCGTTGGCGGTAAATCAGAAAATTATTCGCAGAAAAATACTTGTATATCTGTTTATAATAACGTTGAAAACTGTATGCATTGCTTCAGTAATTATTATATTGTTCACGTTCATCTATTTTGGGGGCAATACGTTCCCATTATCCTTTTTGGAAGGAGGACTCTTGCGAAAAGTTAAAGTCCCGTTTGGAAAAACCTTAACGCAATGAGCTAGCTATTGCTCACTCTGTTTGGTTCATAAACAGATAAAAGCAAAATGGGGATACGTTATCATTTTGTCAATACATATGAGGATGTAGCGACGAGTAAGGACCCTGAGTCATATCAGTTGTTAATTAAAAAAAAAGAGATGAAGTACTACTAAGTTTGAAAATTTCCGGTCAATTTTTTAAGTGATACCCTCCAATTTTGTTATTTAGTGAACATGCCGAAATTATAGGTCAAAATAAGTTGTTAAAAAGAACCATTTCATACACCTAAGCTGTTTGCTGCTTATTAATCCTTTTTAGTATTATCGATTTTTTAATTCTATGAAATTCTGTTGCCTGACTCAGAAGTTGCGTGACTATATAGATTAGGTTTAACTTTTATACATTGAACACATTGAAAATATCAACCAACATGAAATGAATACATGGTATGTTATAATAACGACAAATTAACAAATTAAATGAAACTAACAATAAATGGCAAATATCGATGTTTCTCTTAAAATTGTAATTTTTCAAAAAATTTATTAAAACACATGAAACGCTATTGGACAGATGAGTCATTGCTGAGTTATAGACCTCAACAATCAAGTGCATTTTTTTCAAAATTCGATTTTATTAATTTATGCACTTTGCGAAAGTTTTTTTCTATCTCTACAATCTGTAGAATGGCGCCAAAATGAAGGACGAGAGAATGGAACAGACGAAAGATTAAAAGAGTTGCCGAATTAGGACGGGCAAAATACGCATAACAACATATTATATTTCCGGTTCATTGTTATGGACTTGGACACAAAGTCAATATCAAACTTCGATTTCTTTCCCTCTACAAAGCTGTGCCTTTAGGGCTTAGGTAATTTATTCAAAGCCTTTTCTTCCTTTGGGAATTAAAAAATGAAAGATAAGACTTGTTATCATTTATTTAAGTATTAAAATAGAAATCCACATTTATGGTTTTCTAAATAATTATGACTCAATAGCCCGTGATAATATCTGTGTCAAGACTCGCTATCAGATAAACAAAAAATAAGCCTCACAAAAAGATAAACGCTAAAAATATTTCTATTTGATTAATATCTTTGGTATCAACTGTTGATATTTCAAATTTTATAACGTAAGATTCGTTCTAAACTATCACCTGCCAACGTTTCGTTTTAAATTGATCACCCTGTATTACGCAGTACTTCTGTTCTAAGAGTGACACGTCGAAAAACAAGATAACACATCTATATAATATGATGTGTAACATTATAATACTTTCTGTCATGATAAGGCCTATAATATCTGCGATAATAACTGCTGTTTTTATTTTTCCAAATTTAAAGTTGTTATTCAAGACGTATCATTAGTTAACAAGGCAAAAAAATGATCGTGAAAAGTTTCGTCGACCTTTTGAATGCGGCGCGTTGGCTTCTAACACGATAGCAGCTTTGGTTGAAATTCTAAAATACATATTTCTAGACGTTTCACAATGAAGTACTGACGAGTATTTTAGTGGATCTGACTCCCCTCAGTTCCCTCTCTTATCTTCAAGGGTAGCTGCTCAAATATGTTTCAAATTTACAACAGTTGTTAACAAAAAAAAAAACAGTTTACGGATACAAATTTTCTATATTTAGGACAACTCTCGCGCCACTAAGGTCCGATGCAAAAGAAACAATCGCTTACCCTGACGTGACCCTTGGTTCAAGTATATTTTACACCTTTTATTAACGACCTCGTTTCTTACCTAAATTTGATATATTCGAATACGCCGAGATATACCAATTGGGAACTATTAAAAAAATAATGTAATTCAACTTACTTTTTAACTGCAAAACAACCTGATTATCGCACTGTCGGTGCACAGAATATAGAATAAAGATATTGTAGTTTCGCAAGACTGATCAAGTCCTCTGCAACCGAGCGTACTACTTTCAACTGGTCTACTGCAGTATTTCAACTCTCGCTATCAAACCCAATTGTTGTCAAACCACGTCACAGTATATATCGCGGGTTGTTCTGGGCTGGGATGAGTCACGAAGGACTAAGGACAAGCTAAAAATGCTAAAATACTGTAAGCCACAAAATATATGATATGAACCATCGACTGTTCTCAGTGTTCTCAGAAAGGACTACACGTCGTCTCTGTGACGCCTTTTTTCCTTTCATCCTTTCCTTTCTATTGTTTGGGTTAGGGTGCGCATTTTACCAGAGCCGGCTCAAGACCTTTTCTCGTCGAAAGCAAGTCTGTTTTTATCGTTTTTCTCAAAATCAAACGGGATTTCTTTCAAGTCTTGGTAGTAGTCGAACGATAACTGTAAACCATTCATTGGGACAGTGATTATTGAATGTAATGTATCGCTTCGCCAAAATACCTCATAGCCAAAGTAGGTGTTTTTATCGCAATCCATATTAAATGGTAATTAATTAAGGTAATACTATTTACAGTACAATAATTGGCAATTCATTGTAAGAATGCTGACAATTATTAACATTGAAATTTTACTTTAATTTAGGTATTTAGGTGTAGGTTAAAATACTATAAAACTAAGCGTAAATTTAATTGCTTTTAAAACATTGAATATAGGCAACATTATTTACAATTGAGCGCAATATTAGTTGCGTTCAGTATTAATATGTAAAATGCTATTGTCTCTTTGTATAACCACATGTATAACCGTCTAACCAATAGAAATATCAGTACAAAATTGCAGACAACAATAATTAATTCTTATCTTATCTCTATTTGTGCTGACTCTGTGGTCTGTGGGATTCCCGTTTCACTCATTTTGGTGTTTGCTATCTGCTACAACGCCTAATTAGTAGTTTTATAATGAAATAACTAGTGTTTTTGGTATACAACCGTTACACAAAAGATTATTACAATTAATCTCAAGGTGGGTATAAATAAAATCAACCTATTCTTAATATTTTTTATATGTTGGGTTAATAGCGTTGTTAATAAAAGATAAAAGATAGTACAAAATAGACATTTACACACCATATCTCTAGACGATATTGAGTGATGCTAAAAAAAGTATGATATGATAATTGTATCGGTACAAATAATACAAGCTTTTTGCAATAAATTATCTTTTTACAAATTTAAGTTGAATTGAGGTTAGATTTGAATAGCTGCTTAGGCATAGGTAAAAATAATTCAGTGATAAATGATACCTACTTTGTACTAAATTATTTAGATATATACGCCGTTTATTTTAGAACCGTATGTTCAGAGAAATATTTAAAATAGGTACATAAAAATAAAGTTGATTGTTTTCATTATTTTTTTTCTAGAAATTAAATTCTTTGCTTGCCATCTTGAAACAGGTTAATGTATGTAACGGTTAATATGTATACAGCTTTATCTCAGATTAAATAGTTTAATTTTAAATAAGCTTGTTGATTCGTCAACAGAACTCATACAAACATGGATCCAAATCCCATGGATCAAAATCTCATGGATCCAAATCCCGACTTCATTGCTGCCTTAAGAGATATATATCCTGGGCTTCCAGAGGATATTGCAAACAACATGATACAGATAGCTGAAGAAAATAATCCTGATGACACTTTCGAAGCGAAATTGAACATTATGGTCAATTTACTTTCTGGGTACGAAGGAGCTTGTAATATACCCATCGTCAATGAGGAATTATTATTGGACCAACACTACGAAGTTTTGATGCAGATGTTCCCTGACGCCAACCCCGATTTTATGTTGCAGTTCTGCCAGGATCAGATGCCGGATTTTAATTTGAATGTGGCTGTCCAGAGGCTAATTACAGGTACAAAATTTTAGTGGGCTCATCGTAGAATGCTTGTATTAGAATGTAGTCGACTTTTAGACGGTTACCAAAAAATCGAAGTGGATCCCTTATCGATTTGGGAGCAGTTGAAGGACGCTTTGCCCAATGCCGATCCCACCTACCTGAAGAAGGAAGCCGAAAGATTGGCCTTACTGACCCCAGACGATGTGTCTAATTTTCTTCAGTGTGCCATCGAGGAAAACGACTATCCCACCATGAAGGAATACTTGCAGTAAGAATTATTTTGTTTAAACAATCTGTTGCGCCATTTCCAAAAGGTTACGTTCTCGCCTTGCGTCATTATTTTTTTCAGGCACAAGAAAGAGCAGGAAGAACTAGCCTTCTACAAGCAGTTCGATATCGATAAATTCTTAGAAGCTATACCGAATCCGGTAGATTGGTTTAACGATCCCAACCGCTCGGTATCCCTAGACGAGGAGGCCGACGAGAGCGACGTACAATATGCCCGGACGTTCCTTTACAACAACTACAGCTTCATCAGGAAAAAGTACATCGACCTCCTGTTCGATTGGAAGAACAGGAACCTCGCAGAAATCTGCGACCGTCTGGACAGAATGAGTAAGAGCATGAGACGACCCCGCCCTCAGGAGAAGAACGTAGACAGTTCGAATCTGGCTCTCTTGCAGGAGGTACGCGGGTAACTTCTGCCGTTACCGCATTATAACAACGTTCCTGCTTTCAGATAGCGTTTTTAAAAAACCAGAAGATGATAAAGCGGGAGCTCAAGCACAGGGATGAGGTGTATAAGATGCAGAGGGAAGAGGCGATCAAGTACAATCTCCTCCAGGAATGTCAGTGCTGTTTCGACGGCGACTTGATACCCGAGGAGTGCTATTTCTGCCTGAAGGGCTGCGTCTTCTGTAAGGAGTGCGTCAGGAGGGGGGCGGAGAATATAATCGGAAACGCCGGGATGAGGTTCCCGTGCTTCGCCACCTGCGATTCGGAATTTAGCCTCCACACCTTGCAGGTAACCGCAAGTAAATATTTTGCTTTAATTTGCGCTTTTGTCCATTTAATAAGCGTTTAAAAATAATATTGTGTATTACGGTAAATGGCAATTGTATTGTGCTGTTCATTTCGCATATTGTTCAGATAATATTTTCGCAACATTCTATTGTTACAAATTGCCTATTTTCACATTAGTATCGCTAATTTTTGCTTTAATGGCTTTAATTGCTTATTATTAAAGAAATAGTGAAAAAAATTGGAAAAAAATCCATTTTTTTTCTCTTTTTTTCAACACAGTTCAAAAACTATTCATTTTAGTGAAAAATTGAAAAGGAAAACAAGATTCGTAATTAAATTTTACACATGATATACCTATTTTGAAATAAAAAATACAACATAATTATTGCAAATATAGCAAAAACAATTTTTTTATATATTTACAAATTTGAATGTCTTTTTGTTGAAAACGGTTGGCTTTAGAGATATTAGCAAGATATACCTTTCTTAAGAGGGCTCTGCAGCAAATAGGCAACCAGCAATACACTTCTATAGATTTTATTACACAGTTTGTCTAAATATGAATTAATGCACAAATAACAGACTTTCCTCCATTCTAACGCAAATTTTCTATAAAATGGACTTCGTTTGAAACTCAAATTACCTTTCGGTGTAAAGAAATTTGTAATTTACGATTCAAACTCCAAATTTCTTGACAACAAAAAGTAATCTGACTTTCAAACTCACTCCATTTTATAGAAAATCTGCGTTAGAATGAAGGAAAGTCTGTTATTTACGCATTGATTCATATTTAGACAAACTGTGTAATAAAATCTATAAAAATGTATTACTGGTTGCCTAGTTGTTATAGAGCCCTCTTAAGCAGATAAGTTGGGGGGAAAGATTTTTCCAGTCCAAATTGAAGTACTACACTGTAGCAGTAAAACGATTTAGCAGTTTAAATGCATCCTAATGGTCGTGTGTGGCACTCTCTAGATCGAAATCGTCGATAAATTCGAATTTGTCATGTCCAAAAACCCCCTGATAAAAAATTTCAGGAAATTAGCTTGAAGCAATCGAAAGATTAAAGAAAATTTTATTTTTTTTAACTTCAACACCCAGTATCTAAAATTAAACATTTTAAAGTAACATTTTATATAATTTTTCCCCATTAATTTTCCTCGTAGAATCTAGTGCATGATAATAATGAACTTGTTTATGAGTTCATTTACAATGAACGCCTGCAAAATGCAGCAGAGGCATCGCATAAGCGCAGAATTGGTAAATTTCCTTACAATTTCCAAATTGTCACTTTTTACTATTATTTTCCTTTGCTGTCCCATTTCCCAATAAAAAAAATACTTTCAATTGCCCTGGCACTGTAAATAAGTAAAAAGTGCCTTCATATCGTCACTCTCTGTCTCTCTCCCTGTCTTATAAATAAAAGTATCTGTACAAGTTGTAAATTTGTTCGATTGAAATAGACCGGGATTATTTCGTAGATGGTCCTGCCGAGGAACACCTTCGAGAAGCTCGCTCAAAATATCGCTATCGAAGAAGCGAAAAGGGCCAACATCGATGGCGTGGAAATGTGTCCGTTTTGCGACTGGATCGTCGTCGTGCCCGACGATAAGAAAGTCATCAAGTGCTGTAATATGGATTGCATGACGGAATCGTGCCGGATGTGTCGTCACGTATCGCACATTCCCTTAAAGTGCAACGAGGTCGAGTACGACGAGGACGTCAGGAGGAGGACCTACATCGAGAATAAAATGACTGAAGCCCTGACAAGGTATTAACTAAAGTTTTTCTTTTTATCATTTCTCGAGTGTTTCGTCAAATTGGAAAATTACTGAAATAAGTCTCCGTGCGGGAATTAGAGGGTTTTGGTCTATTTTTGCTTTTAAATCTTTGAAATTTAAGTCGCACGATAGAATAGAAGTAAAACTAGTGAAAATTTACTTTTCATCATCTACAACACAGGGCGTTTTCTAAATTTGTGTCGAGGATAATGGAAGGTGGTTTATCAAAAAAAAAATCGTCTCGTTTCAGGACGTGCCACATGTGCGGCAAGAAATTTATAAAAGAGAGCGGCTGCAACAAGATGACCTGCGTGTGCGGGGCGAGGCAGTGCTACCTGTGCGGGGCGGCCGTCCAAGATTACAACCACTTCGGGGAGGGCAGGTGCCCCCTCCACACGAACGACAACCAAATTAACCTGCAGCGAGTGGTGGCGAGCGCCGCCAACGCCAAACAGGAACTCGGCGACGTCCTGATCAAGTTCGACCCCAGCAGAAATATCGAAGAATTTTTCAGTTAATTCGATTTAACCGAAAATAGGGGAGTGTTTAATGGCTTTTTTTTTAATGGATTTAATTAATATTTTCTTGCATTTATTTCGATTTAATTTACTTTAATCAAATTTACTCTGTTTGTGTGGATGTGGGGACGGAGTATTATTAATAACGTATTTGTATCTGTTTTGTATAATAAATATTTTGTATCCACTTGTTGTAGGCAATGGCAGTACTGTATGTTATCAAACATATTTTTTTTGGATTTTTGCAATATAAATAAAGTTATATTCATGTGCAAACATTTGTTTTATTTCTCGAATTGTGAGAATTCGAGAATCTCTCGTTCAATAATAAAGACAAAAATTTAACCGAACCTCAAAACCATTTTGACAGAAAACATAAATGATTACAAGCCATGGGACCGCCGACATTAGGCAACCAACATTACACAATATACTTCAATTGAAACTGTTAAAGGGCCCTATAGCAATCTAGTTTGCCGCTTTTGAATAAGCGGCATCGTAAATTACAACTTCTTTGCGACAAAAAGTAATTAGAGTTTCAAACTAACTCCATTTTATAGAAAATCTGTGTTAAAATGGAGGAAAGTCATGGCATGGATTCATATTTATAGGAACTGTGTAACAAAATCTATAAAAGTGTATTGCTGGTTGCCTATTTGCTATAGAGCCCTCTTAAATAGAAGTCTTATTCTTATTCCAAAATAAGGCAGTTATATTTAAAAAAATCTAGGCGAGCCTTGCAAAGAATTTAACGTAATATTTATCACTTTCTGTGAATATTTTGATTTTCTTATTGTAGGCAATTTATTTAAACTTGCCGCCTTGAAGTAGGTTGGCAGTGTAGTTGGTAGCCCTGAGCTTAGTTTATGGCGTGCCCGGTAGAGGGTAGAGATGTTTAGTTCCGTGCTCTGATTGGTTGATTAGTAGTAGTTTATTATTGGTCGATGAATGACCTTACTTGTAGAATTATTATTTAAATTAAATAATAATAGAATTATGTATAACCCACATGCTTCTATACAGTCCGATTTTAATTTTTCAGTCCGAATTTAAAAGAAGTGTAATACTACAAAACGTATATTCTAATTTTCCGATAAAATATGTCGTTTAACCGCGATAATTTTTAAGATGCAAGCGCACCAAGCGGCGAAAGCGGTAAGCTCCGAGACAAGGTAATTTTGACATTGCCGTTCGTGTTTTCACATTTATTTGAACGACATTCATTTTATTTCTCATTTATTATATTAGTAATTTTGTTATTAAATTGCGGTTATTTGATTTTCGTGTTATTTTATAGGCTTCAAATATAAATAAATTTTAATGCAAGTATTTATGTCTACCCTGTTTGTTTTTAGCATTACAATTTAATGTACATTTTTTGAGGTTATAACTATGAATTTATCCGTTATAGAATACCTACATTTCCCATTTAAATGCCAACGAAAATTCTTGTTGTATATCAGAAGGAGAGGCAGTTTTTAACGCTGGCCATGTGGTACTATGTGGGAAAATTGGACAGTGATTTAAATTTAGAAATTTATTCATTGTGCTTGCAAACTACTGCCCTTACTAACGACCCTCTTGAAATTCAGGGAGTATTGGCTATCAACAATAGTATTTTGAAAATTTCTTCAATGGTTTGATGAAAACTTGGATTTTTTTTGAACATGAACAACCATAAACTGAACAATAGTAGTTCTACAAATTCTTTTTATCCATAACTGCTGAAGTTTTCCTCACTATTTTCTTAAAATAACAGTGTTCTTAAAATAAACACTATATAAACACAGTTTTAAATAAAATACAAAATGAAATGTCACACAAGAAATTACCTTGTTTCGCTACTATCGCTAATCTAGTGCTAGTGCTAGTATCACTTGTCACCGCCAGATAGCGAGCTCTTAGGTGCATTCGCGGATATGAAAAATTCAAAAAGTAGTGTCCATTACCGAATACCAGCCAACATCCCAAACAGACGCCCACATTATCATGTATATTTAGAGGGAAACTTAAAAGTATTGTAAAATGCTAGAGATGAACAAAATTTTCGCCACTTCCTAGAAAACACAAACATGGATAAATTTAAATTTACCAAATTTGAGTCTTTGTTAAAAATTAAGAAGACGGCACATTTAATTCTATTTATTTATTTTACGATCCCGTGGCACTTCTAGAACGGCCTGTACATGCCGAAGTAATAGGAACAGTGGGGGCAAGTGTGATGCGAGTAGTTGCACGACCTGAGACAATACGGCATGAGACAGCAGGGCCAGCACAGACACAGGCACAAGAAAAGGGCGATTAGGTGGGTTGTGATCGATCGGTGTACCTGCACCTCGGTCACAACTGCAGTCCTACATCTCGGGCATATCATGTACGTGGGGTCGGGACCAAACACGGCCGATTCTGCTGAAATTAAATTAATTAAATAATGTACTGGAGTGTATTTCAATTTTCAATTGTATAAAAAATTGTTTTGAAATGTTAGTTGTAGTGTATGCAACCAACATATCAAGTTCTTGTAATGCTGGTGGTCTCTTCATTCATACATCATATATTTAGCAATAACTTTATCAAAATTGAAACTATAGAATTATTTATAACAACTTGGAGCTGGCATACGTTTATCGTACAGAATATACTTTTGTTTGTAAATAATAGTCCACTTTCCTATAGGTCGATTCAATTGACGCTTGACTTCAGATTTCTGTAGCTTTTTTAACATACATTGCAGTTAGGTTAGAGAAAATATAATAGATGTCGCACCCTGCATTGTTCTTGTCATAGAAGTTCTTGTGAATAAATGACAGTGGCGGCGTCAATAGAGTTCGCCCCAACCATTTTTTATTAAATTGTAATTTAATATATCTAATTTAACTATACTTTGGCGTATAGATTTTAATTGAAATATCTTAAAATTGAAGATAGTAGCCAAATATAGCAAAATCTGACACTCGCTGGTAAATGGTAAACAACTAGATCGTATTTTAATCTACATCCACGATTAAGAGTTATAACTGACACCCGTAAACATATTTGTTTAACTATTGCACTACGACGACAACATTACTAATTTATCTTACAAGATATGAGACTGGGACTATCCTCCCATATGCCCTCCTCCTCAGCATAACTTGGTGGTGGTTTTCTTGGAACAAAGGAGCAAGAGGAGCAATTCTTAATCCGAGATCTAGGAGGGGGTCCCATTCTTATGACAGACGAGTACGAAGGCAGTATTTTTTGTCTGGATAACCCTGCAGATTTCTGCAGGTAGATTTCGTCGTGAATCGCGTTTGTAGAGTTCACAATCCCAGCACTAAGAGCTCTAGAGACACACGTTGTAAACAGTGTATTTATTTCAATTTTATGTACCTATAAATACCTATAAATCTCGTATGTTCTCAAGTTATCCGTTCGCTCGAGGTGTTCCGACCTGGTTCTGGAGGTACCTGGAATACTATCACAGATATTCACCCGACACTCCATTTTCTTGAACACGGTATAGTCCATAAGCTCACTTAGCACTTCTTTGACAGTGCATTGCATTCTAGAAGTTGCATTGTCGTTGCTGTCCCTTCTTACATTGTATATCTGCCTTGACACAGTACTAGGATCTAACAGGTACTCTGGAGGAGCACCTGACGAAATTACTGAGTTTCTGTTACTTCCTGTGGAAGTTGATGACAGCTGAATTGATGGCATACGGATGATGGTACAGTCCAGGATTTCGTTCAGCATATCCTTCACTGTACATGTTTGGTAAGGTATAGTTGATCGAGTTCTTTCAGCAGTTTTCTCTTCCGTGTTAATCCTTGGTTGAGGTAGAACGGTGGATGAACCTTCGTTTACTGAAGGTTGAGTTTGATCAGTTGACGAGTCCAAGAGGTCACTTAAAATTTGGGATACTATGGAAGAGATTTCGATGTCTACCTCTGTGGGGTTTCTGCCTCTTTCTGCTGCCATTGAACAGTGTTAATATTCATGAAATGATATGTTACTGTCATTTCCCGACAATTTGACACAATTTTTGAAGCATACCCGTCAAATTAAAGTCAGAGAATCAAAATCTACAAGTGCAAGCATCCCTCGAAGAGAAAACAATCCCTCAAGAGCAAAATGCCTCCGATCCCGCCCGGAAAGTACGTTTAAAATTAATGGAGCGCTACTTGATATGCCAGATATGTGGAGAAAAGTTGCCCTTCGACCCGGTATGCACGTGTACCCTTGGAGAACACCTCGTCAAAAACCACCCTGATGCGGAAATGACCCATTTCATTGTCGAAGACACGTCTCTCTGCGGGTGCGGTAGGGAATCAACATCTAGTTCATCCGAAGGTGGGTAAAATGTTTGAAAAAATTGAGATAACTGTATATTCTACATTTTTTAGTCTTTCATCAACATGTAAGTTTATAATTTTTGGTTTTGAAGGTCTATATTCAACTGCAGACGCCGCTGTCGGTAATAAAAGCGCAGTTTTCAAGACAACAAGTGAGTTGAGAACTAATATATAGAAAAAAAACGGGTAAGTTATTTTAACAATATTTTAGTTGAGACGTGGAAACCTGGGCCTTTGAATGTGATCTGTCCTTTGTGTGGGAAAGAAGATAGGCCCTGCATTAGAAAACAAAGAAACAAGGTAGGCAACTAATGATAGACAAAGATAAAAATAGAAGGTAACACCCAGTGAACTATATACATACATGTATAGTTCATTGCTAACATCTAACTGATGTGACCTCTGCCCACAGCACAGACAACATTCCCAATTCAAATCAAGTGCTCTGCCCTCTGGCGGAAACATTTTGTATTTAAAGAGGGCAGATAAAATGTAAACAAACTTGAATTTGATGCAAAATTGTAGTTTTCTCATGATTTAACCATCTTTGCAAAAATTTATTATTTAGCCTAAGAAAAACTAGTACTTAACCCTTTTTTTTACATGAATCAAATGCCAATGTTGCCTATTTATCACATTGTCACGTACAAATGAATCCTTTTAGGTCGCTTACACCCAGTTCGGAGCATTGTGCATGGTTACTTGCTGGCCTATCTGCTTCTTGCCCTTTCTGATGTCCCAGTCCAGCACCATACACCTCTACTGCCGCCACTGTGGAGCCCTCATTGGCGAATACAACAGACAAACCGGCACCCTTAAACCCGCACCCATCGACCCGAGTAAAAAACTTAATGTACCCAGTAACTTATGTTAGGTTGGATTTAATTTTGTCGTTTCCTAACTTCCAATAAAATTTGTGAGTAAATTGATAGCTTAAATTATTTAGAAATGTAAAAAATTCTCTAAGCCCTACGTCGGGCGCCATGTAAGATACACAAGGTGGTTATGTAAATGAATCGATAGGCAGGTATGTGGAAGTACCAACAAAATAGACAGTAAAAAACAGGTTTATTAAATTAATTAATAAATTAACAAAAATAAATAAAAGATGATTTATTTTCACAATCAAGCCTGCTTTAGCTCCGACCTATGTACGCTTTACACGCTCTGCAGTAGTGTACGGCTATGCGACACCTCCTCGTGCAGTAAGGCAGCCAGCAAAGTAACACTAGCGTTAACAGAGCAGCCATAAAATGAGTTTTCTTTGTGCACTTGAGTACCACGTAGGTTTCTTGGACAGCACGACAGTTAGGGCATGTTATGAGTTTGGGGCGTTTACCCAAGACGTACATTTCCAGCAACCACTCTCGCGAGCCCCACCTTGTCCGTCTCGATGGGAAACAGCAAAAGACGCGGGTGGTGGTTTTACCTCTGCGGCCTGAAAAACAGTGCAATGTTGGAGTATAGGTGAAACATGTACAATATTTTAGGTTATGATACACAGATTTCTGGAAGCGAATGGGCCATATTTAGAGAATAGGTTTATTTCTTACTGATATGCGAGGTCGTCAATAAGTTTCTCGATGAATTTTTCTATAGTGGACATAGTTAAAGCACTCGACCTTGTCTCATTGTGTTAAAATATCTTTTATTCTTTTTAAATATAAAAAGCAACGCTCATTTCCGGGTATTATCATAGGGAGAGGAAAACTATTTCATTCAGTTATAAACTAGTTATTTAAATAACTTGTAAAATATTATACCTGTATATACTTGATCACGTCATTGAATTTGACAAATTCTTGGCTTTGAGCATCGACGACAATTTGAAAATTGTTTCGCATGGCTACTATACAGGGTCGGAAAGTCCCCATGGTTCATCGGCCGTTGCGGGCGGAGACTATGAGACGCCTTCATTCTAGCCATCCTTCTCTATCGCACGGATTTCTATGACTTACTTTATCGCTCTCACGTAACGACCGATGAACCATGGGAACTTTCCGAACCTGTATAACAAATCTACAGTTTTTACAGTAAAATTACAAATATATTCTTAAAACTATAATTTCTAGTAATACGTCGAGTCGAATCTTTCTTTATTGTCATATGTGAAAAGTCAGTGACCAATGTATTTATGTATGTACTTACAAATAACAAATTATTGTTTGATAATTTTGGGTCGATAAACCACAATCTCCAGTCAACTTCTTTAAAGTTGGAAAATTATTAGTTCATTCAATGCACTCAACCACCACAAATTCAATATAACTCACTATTCTACCATACTGCACAATTTCATATAGAATCGAAATATGCGCTTTTTATCTTTTACCTTGTTTAACGACAGCAGTCCACCTTCAACTTATATCGGTGACTAACAGTTACTTATTTGAAGAAAATATTTCGAGTCATTTATTAGTACAGATTACAGATAACGAATCGAGAACGCATTTCTATTAACTCTAAGTATTATTGATTACAAACGACGAAATTACTACTACAATTATGATGCTTTATAATTACTTTTTTGTATCTTCAATGTCAATAGTTGACCAATGTTGTGTTTAGAACTATAAGACAATTTCAGTAGAAACTAAATGAGTGAATGAATTAACAATGACTAATATTTGTAAATATAAATGAGATTGCAATTTTTAATAAGAATTGTTTACCTTTAAGGGGTGACTTATCAGATGGCTTACAAACAAAATGATGGGGATTCTGCTCACTACGCGAGAGGTATTCCCACAAAATTCATAAATATTCCAAAACTAACTGCGTATCTACTAGGTTCCGAAATATTTCATCCAGCTAAATTAAATAACTTACAATTTATATATCCGTTTAGGAAATAAAAGTAACATTATCTGCGGAGACTTACAAAAATCATTGTCAAAAATCCTGTCATTGTCACAGCACTGAAGTTTATCCATGGCTTGTGTCTACTTGTATTTTGCATCACATACTTTAAGTTCAAGACCAAAATATAATGCTGTTATCTGTGTTTATGTGACTTTTTGCCCTTCTTTATTCAGGGTCATATATTTCTTATTTACTTAACTTGCTTTATCTGCGTAATATGACGCGTCACAACAAAACAAGAAGTGTTGGTAAAATTTTAAAATAAGGTTACTTAAGGGTGGTCACAGGAGAGTCATCTCTTATTTCATTTGTTGTTTTCCATCTAACGCGGACCATACACTACGAGATATGAAAGGAAAAACAGAAAATGTTACATTAAACTGAACCTTTATTTAAGTACTCAATGTAAAACAATACTTTTATATTTATATGTAAATTATCTACTATTTCTTATCTTTATTATGAAGTGTGGTTGCGCACTTGTTTCAGAAACACCCTGTCTACAAACAAGGGCAAAAATGTACACCCCATGCGGTTATTTGTGAACTAATCACCCCTTAACCTTGACCTTTCCAATTAGTCATTAAATAACTGAAAACTACTAGGTCCTTGAGGAGCACGTCTGTCAAATCTTCTATTTAAAATCAGTTTGTGGCCAATATTTTCATTACGCTATGTGATCGAGTGGCCCTACTACATGAATAAAACATCTTAGTCCCTCGGGCTAGATCGTGAGGTCTTCACTGTGTGAAACTCCATCGACTTTATTAGGTGCAGTTTAAACACGTATTCCATTGTTTATACTACGCTTGTTGCTAGGGTAACGACAAAAACAAAAAGGCAAAGGCAACAAGATGTGTGATATGCAATTTCCATCTGTTAGAATTCGCAATAAATTCTCAACAGTGTTCTAGAGTCCAGTTTGAAATAGCTTAGTCTAAAAATAAACCTAAGTGTTATCTATCGTTAATTAAAGACAGCTAAATCTGTATCATCACCATGTTCTTATATTCACTTATTGTGGCCTGTCGACAAGACATCGTGTAATCCTCATACAAGGTTCCATTAATTACGGATATTGAACATACACCGTCCAAACCCCGGACAAAAACTCACGGTTTCCTAACAAAGCCTCTTCGTCGACGATAGGTAATCCCATACTCCTCTAAAAACTGTCTAGGCACTCCACGACGTTTTTACAAACGCTGCCAAACTCTATCGATGGGAGAACCACAGCTTACCTACAAGCTGTGGGAGAACTTCGCATATCGGGAATTCCAAAGCATGCCGTGAATCAGGAACTACCGCACATTGTTTTGGAGACACCAACGCATACTCCGATAATTATTATTAATAATCAGGAACAGCTATTTTGAGAATATCGATCTAAGGATTAAGTAGAAGCAATTTGACAATCATTAGAAGTTTATCAAAGTTTTCGCAATCAAAGGATAAATTTCGTATGTTGAAAAATTGAGTGAAAACTTGCAATGCCTTGTCGTAAATCACAGCAGGTCCAATGATTCAATACCAGGGATAGAGATATCCAAATTAATCTGGAATAGCACGTACGCTCGTAGGTCGATGTTTTGAAAAAAAAGGGGATGGTCAAGGTTGTGCTTAGAACGCAAATTACTTCACTTTTAATTAATAAAGTCCGCAAAACAGAACGGGACAGATAATTAACTTCATTTAAACAGGACAGACTTCAGGGGGATATCAGTTTTTGCTTTACCTCTTTGTTTACTGTGAGAGGTAATAAAAAATATGTAATTATATTAAGTTTAATAAACTAACGCCCCATATAAAATTTTAAAATGATTATATCCTTTAAAGGAAACAATAATTATTATTTAAAAAAATATATAAGAAGCGCTTGAAGATTTGTATTATCCTGGATATGATTCCTATATTGTAATGGAAGTCTGTAATATCATGCATGTCAGATATTTACATACAAATCCTTGGGTAGTCCTGAACTCTGTACTAAAGAGAAATGCACCTCATAATTCCAGGAATTCAGCGAAAATTAAATCCCCCGACATCTTTTCCTGAAAACAGTCCTGGATGTAAACGAACAGTATTCAATTAGACATAATTGGAAAAGTACAGCGAATAAATTCTGCCGATAGGGCAATGTCGATAGCAATGACAGTATAATAGTATCAATAGGTAATTAGCAGATAAAGGACAAGGGAAAAATTTGCTCCATAAACAACACCATGCACTAATGGTAATGAAATACGATAAATATAAACTTGTTTCCTGGGTCTGACGTTCGTGTAAATCATCTAGAGGTAATTTTATCTCGAATTTCCTATAAAAGTGATGTAATAAACCAGTAAATTGAAAGAGTTGGAAATAATAGACTCTCCTGCATTATATTAGCATTAAGCTCTTGTGTCTATGCAAGGACTTCTAAAATAGTGTGTTGAATGGATATTTTACGATCTTAAGAGCACTCAATTTCACAATGCATGTCTGCGAACTTGCGAAGTTTACTTATAACTTTTACGGTGCTATAAACATCTACATGTCAATAAAATAGATTCAAATAAGTCACTGGCTGTTGGAAACACATAAATTAACTAATTCTTATCCCGAAGCTACTTCTATCTAGGAGTGAGTAAATAAAACTAAGAAATTGTTTCGTGTGACATTAAGTGAAAGTTTAGATCAAAGCAGATATTTCTGTAGACAGTAAACTAACTTCAGATCACAGTAAGTTCTCTCCGTGTGGATCACGCACGTATCGACGCCAAAACATAAAATATCATGCATTATTCAAGCCTCGAAAGTCACTGACTTTCACGTTTCTGTCAGCGAAGCGGATTTTTACTTGCTCCTGTTGCTCGCCGCCCTCTGCCGAAGGCCGATCAGGAATCTGTAAAGAATCGTGCGGACGAATTCCAATATTTATGAATAACTGAGGTATAAAGAACATTGGAGGGTCGAATGAGTTTTTGTTGGAAGTGCCGTAGGTATATTTTCTTTTCGCTTTATCCAACGATTCGAAACTGCTCAATCCAGTGTCGTCTGAGAGACTGATTTACTAGATCTGCACAAGGTTGGATATAAATATGTCAGGATGATTCAGAACTGACAATATAAAGCGTTTTACATAGGTTTAAGCACAGGTTTGATCAGGTGTATTACTGATTTTGTCAGTGTTGCCTTCAATGTTTATTTTCTTTACTTGTTAAGTGCGGACACTTTTTTTATTATTTGCCTGTGCAAACTCATGATGAAGTGTGGTTTCAAAAGTATTAGGTTTGAAATAATTCATCCAAGCCTGAACATCTGTACGGTACACCAGAGAGTGATCGTCTTCATTATTGAAGAACTTTGGAAACTCCATTTCGATCCCTGTAAAAAGTTGATTTCGTTCCTGGTAGTACCAATCTTCAACTCTTTAGTCCCGCAGCCAAAAATTCAGATGCATTTTTTGGAAGTCTTAGTTTTCTAATCAGATAATTCAACTCTTCTTGATTACTGGACTGTTGTTTTCGAGTTGAATTTTAAATGGCCAAACTGGGAAGCTCAACCAGTATCAAATTCGTGTTCAGCCCGTCAAAATACATTGGATTAAAACTTGGACTACTACTTGAAAACACATATAGATAGCCATGTGGAGTCTACAGGTCAGCGCAATGCATTCGACAGACAGATACAGTCGCGAACTAATACGCGTGCACTCCAGGAAATACTTGGCTGTATTTCTTGAAATTTTGGGTAAACGCCGAACGATTTGCGTTAATACCGAGAATTGAAACCATCCCAGAATCGGTCATCCCGCAAAGCAGATACCATTCGGAGAAAAGTTTCCGTTTACGTGGGGATCGCGATCGCGCGGGAACGACGGATCTTCTGGAGAGTGGGAAGAGCGCTGGTGGACGCTGGATGGAAGCAGTTGCGTCGGGACGACAGGCGTCGCCAAATCGCCTCCTCTCGCGTGCGGTTTCACCGGTGATAACTTTGTGCGTCCGTTAGGTCGGTGATTTTTTGTGGCCCAACTGCGACTAGTTTTAGGGTTGCAGGAGACGATAGTGACTGAAAAAAATTATTTTATTACTTGTGCGTCTAGTTTTTCACTTGTTCTGGGGAGCGGTGGGATTTTTTGAATTAGGTAAGTTAATACCCAATAGGACTTGGTACTTAGCCCCAATTACAGGATAAGTTGAAGCCAAAAAAAGAATAATATTAAGTAGTAAGCAATCACAATATAAAATCAAGACATAGAAGATCTTAAATATAAACAATAAGAGACAAATAAGACAAATAAGCTAACATATTATGCAAGATTAGGAGAACATTTGCTAAACGAATAATTTTTTTATGTTATTTATAGAATAAAAGATTTATCAAGTTGGTCTTCATAATTTTCTGAATGACTGTTAACTTTATCCTAACACATTTTATCTTCAAATAGTCAGCATCCACTAAAAGCTGTAGAGTAAAAAACTTTAATAACCTGAAATAAAATAAAACAACTTTATTCTGACATTGACAAAATTATCTTTTAGACGAGGGTAAATTTTTGGAATATTAAAGGAATGTTACCAAGAATTTAATTTACTGTGAAAAGAAATACTTGCGTACCTCATAATATCTCTTATTAACCCTGTGGAATGATCTCGTTTGTCTCACTGTATTTAACTAGGTTTTGAAAGAGTTTTTTTCATATATCAATTTGTTTTATTGGTCACAAAATAGTCCAGTCACTGAAGCAATTTGGCTACCAATTTTTTCGAATGGAATGTATTGACGTGAAATTTGAACTGTAGCTAGGGAATAGCCCAAGAAATAGAAGTTACATAGTGCCGATGTGTGCTTTTAGGGGTGGATACCATCCCTTCTGGAGGGTGGGAATTTTTTTATTAAAAATAACCTCACGATTCGATAGAGAACTTTTTTTTCTATTTTTTTGGACATGGAAGGTTAGTTTTTAAGTATGTTTAAGGGTTGAAAAGTAATTAAATTTCATAAATTATATTGAAAAACATGAAAGGAACTTTACTCAACATGAATTGAATTTTTAAAATACGTAAATTTGCGATTTTCGCATTTTTTTGTACAAGGGTAGTTTTCACCCCCAAATAGAAAAAAGCACACATCTAGACAATATAACTTTTGAAGTGGGAGATCAGATGAGCTTGTATGCAAATTTTCAGGAAAATCCACGCTATCCGAAAAAATTAGGAGCTTTTACTTTATTTTCTCCTTTAGTGCCTGGACTAAAAGAAGAAAAATAATATTTGAAATTGTCTTGTGTTTCAACTGTTCTTAAATTTTGATTTTATCAAGGAAACGTCTTATATTTTCTAACCATATAACCAAATTCTAAAAAAGTATATTGAAATTGAATTCATTCACAAAATATGCCATTTCATCTTGTGGAAGACAATACGTTTTGGAAGTGGTTGCTCTAAGCCTCGCTGAAAACTAGACTAATATTATGCAGATCATATTCCCCATTCGTCAAAATTTCATCTAGAGCTTCTCCAGAGGTTTCATTTTAGAGAGTAACTCCGACATTTCCTGGTCTCCACGGAATTTGCTCTCATATACGAATTTAGTTGGTTTGTCAAAGTTCTAACAATTGTAACGGTGAGTATTGATTTCTATCAACCAACTTGCGAATGAGTTAGATAATAATAGTTAAAAAAAACCGCAAATATTTGCATATTGAATGAAATACAGTCCAAAACAGTGACAGACACAAATAATTTTAAATTCTCCCACTTTTTGCTGTTCGTTATTGCCATATATTCCTGTTTTGAACTTTCCTTTATTAATTCATTGATAAAAAAACACGATATTCGAGGATTAATAACCAAAGTTGTCCAGCACCCAAAACTCCTATTCGAAAGTTTGGCAAAATCTTCCCAAGCGTTCATTTTAAATTACATAAGTGGTTATCTACCCATGAATCTCATTAGGGCGAAAAGCAGAACAAAAGAGGGATGTTTATCAGAAACTCCTAAACAAAAAATTAATGCTAAAAAGGACCCCACAGCATTACAAACTTGGCGCATGGCGCTACTCAAAGTTTCGAACGACATGACTTCATCGGAGATTAATTAAATTAATAAGTGTAAATCCCCCGAAGAGTTTTAATCTGTCCGATGGTGCCCCTCGGGTGCATCGGCCAAATTTGCATATAAATGAAATTAGCTACAGATTGAGCCCAGTCGTCTAGTGGATTAGAGCCGGTGTGATAATTCGTAATTTGCTTTGACGTATTGGAGATAAAAATGTATTGGTTTGTAATTAAAGGACATTAGCGTCGGTTGAATCCCTTAGGGGGAGCATATATGGGATTGAATTGGCATGGAAATTTTAGAGGAGCTAATATTAATGAATAGAATAAGGATATTTCAGTTTTCTTTTTCTCAAAGCATCCCAAAAACAACCGCTGCAACTTTTCATTCATTGTTATTCGAATAATTGAAATTGTCACTTTTGCTAAAAATTAATTAAAGGTGTTAAATTTTGCATCTTTTATCAATTGATAATGTTTCTTTTAGCAAAAATACATATTTATTTCATCAAAAAAGTTAAATATCGAATTTAAAAAGCTCCTCGAAATTTACAGATCAATACGGTCGTTATTTTTTACTGATAAATAGCATAGTGATTAGACCAACTACATAAGTAGTCACCATTTTGTGATAGAAGTAACGGATAAAAAAGTAAAGACGAGATCAAAGTTGGCGTCGATTCAATTGTTTTTATTGTTATTTCTGTCGTTCTCATCGATTTGTTACGGATAAGGTTAAGGATTGAGTCTAGAAACTGCCTTTGTTTAGGTTCGATCAAGCAACATATATTTAGTTATTTATTGATGGAATTACTAAAAATACTCTTCTTAAGCTGAAAGGTGGGTAATTTTTAAATTATCCAGCAGATGACTTTTTTTCTTTTCGATATGGATGACAAGGCATTTTGAAGCCAAATAAATAAATATTCTTTTAATAAGAATAAGAAGAATGACGTCTGTTGGATAATTTTAAAATTGCACATCTTTCGACTTACCTTAATATTTGACTGAACAATATTATAAAGTCGTTTTTAATTATTGTTCCCCACCTTTGAGTGTTATTCGTATTTTTTTGTAAATGCATAATAACTTCCTGTTCCTATTCTTATATTTAATTAATTTAATCAAAATTGTTTACTCTCTTATACCGTCTAGAAGTGAAGCTAAAACTGTATTAATATTTCAGTGTTTGCCATAAATTCCTCGCAAGAAAGACGAACCTTTCGCAAAAATCTCCTGATTATTAACGCTAATTAAGTTTTATTAGTTTAGTTAAATTAATATTTCCTATAAATAAAGTCAAATGATAAAGCTACGAAAGCTTCCCACGCAATTTTATTACAACTGTATTTATTAAAACAGGAAGCAACAGATCTCAGTGTTGATTTTGTAATGTTAACCATTCAACTTTAGCGGCCGCTAATAAAGCTAGAGTGCAAAGCTTTCTGCAGCAAAAACTAAGCGTGGTCCCGTTTCCTAGGTTCAAAGAGCACCAGCAAAGGTAAAATAAAAATATAGATCCTAATCTGCAAAGTCTGCAACAGCGGGAAAGTGCCGTCCGAGTTTTTCATATATGTTTTTAAAAAGGAATTATAATGTTCTTTGTGGGATGCTGTGAGAATTTCGTTTTAAGGACATTTAATATGAAAATTATTATGGAAATCAGATGTACTGAATATAATTTGACTTGGCAACATTGTAGAGACTTAACCTAAGATTTATGTTCATCATTTGTTCCTCTTTCTAAAAGATCCGCTCTCGTGGCAAACGGTCGGTTAAAATATAAAAATTATATTAAGGCTTCGAATAAGCAGGGCGAATTATTACACAATAGACAAGGGTGGAAGGACCTTTTCGCACGGAGTGGATTTTCAACGCAGCTGATTACGCTGGACTCAATTAAGTTGTCAGAACGCGCTGAAAAAGGAAAATGGAAGGTAATGCACGAGGTGTGGCTGAATACAAATGAGAAGTTGTTCCAAAAAAGTCTAAGACACAATATAATATAATATAATAGTCGCAAGGACTCCTAACCCAAGAGGTTCAACAATTGCTGACCGATGGATTTTTTTTATTTTGGTAAAAATTGCTTTCGAAGTGGATTATAACTGAACTGAACAGATATAACAATACGTGAGTATATTAAACAGAAAAAATTGTGACAAGTGACAATATCTCAGCGTCAGATTATCTAAGTTCTTTCTGTGATCAAAAATGAAAGAGAAAAAGATCTAATGGGCACAAGGGCATATTATTTCAAGTGAATGAAACGTGTTTTTAGTTTGACCACAAAACAATTCTTAATTTATCTAGTTCTAATTACATATATCTTGTTGAGTGAAAAATCTGTATAGTTTCCATACCTTGAAAATATCTCAGTTCATTTACTAAAGTTCCATCAAATGACAAAGTAGAAGAACTTAATAAATATTCATTTATTAAAAATGCAAATAAAACAAGTTCCTGATAGTTAAAGTCATTTATCTTCTTCCAAAGTAAACAGAACTTTCTAAAAAAATGAACGACAAAAGTTTTTTCGCAAAACCGATTTATTTTATGCAAAATTTCGACTCAATCACTAAAGCACTTTCGAGGAAAAAACAACGTGGTACCTAAACACTTAACAATTTAAAACAAATGTTTTCTGTAAATTTAATGCTACGTGACAAAATCAACGTAGACATCTACAATTATAATACCATACCGACCAGGACAACATACCCAAAGGACTAATAGTGCATTCTCCTCTATAATATTTCACTTGAAATGTGACACTAGGCTGCGTATTATCAATAATCTAATGAAGATACACCGCCGTCAGCCATCGCATGTCTTGCCATTGAGATATTGCACGACATCTTATCTGAACGACTTAATTAGATAATGGGGGTTTTCTAATCCAATATGGCCGCCTGCCGGCTAATGCACAGCAATTACAGAGCGAACCGCTTGTTTGTGCAATGATTAGTTGCAATTTGCCACGACGCAAGGCAAGTGCTTGAGAATTAAATGCAAGCGGTGAGCACTTCGTCAAAGAGGTTCTCATATATTGCTTAAAGTTTGCAATCTGCTATTAAGTACAAGAT